CCAGGTTCAGCATCTTAGCTGTAGAGGGCAGTGTCACTGGCCCTCATATGTGGGATCCGAACCAGGGCCCTCTGGCGTCCCAAGCTAGCTCTTAACCAACGTACCACTCGGCCGGCCCCAAAGATTTCTTAAATATGACACTAAAAGCACAATCCATGAAAGAACTGATAAAATGGACTTCATCAATATTAAAATCTGCTCTTCAAAAGATACTCTTAAGAGAGTGAAGAGAAACCACAAGATGGGAGAGAATATTTGGAAATCACATATATGAAAAAGGACTTGTACCTATAATCTCTGAAGACCAATAAGAGATCAAAGATCAATAAAAAGAAAACCCAATTAAAACAGAGGCAGAAAATATGAGCGCTTTACCAAAGACAAAATGGAAGGCAATTAAGCACATGAAAATATACTCAGCATTTGTCATTAGGGAAATGCAAATTAAAACTTCAATAAGATAGGGCCGGCCGAGTGGCACGTTGGCTAAGAACTGGCTTGGGACGCCAGAGGGCCCTGGTTCGGATCCCACATATGAGGGCCAGTGGCACTGCCCTCTAAAAAAAAAAAAAAACTTCAATAAGATAGCATTACACACATTAGAGTACCTAAAAGACTGACAGCATTGAGTGTAGACAAAGATGTATTAGAAGCGGTAGTCTCATACAATGTTGGTGGAAATGCAAAGTGGCACAACTACATAGACCAGTTTTGGAGATTCTTAAAAAGTTAAATACACACCTCCCTTATGACCTAGACATTCCACGCATGGTGTTTACCAAGATAAATATAAGTATACACACTCACAAAGGCTTGGACACAAATGTTCACAGTTTTATTGGTAATAGCCAGAAACTGGAAAGAACCCAAATGGCCATCAAGAGGAGAATGGACAAACAAGTTGTGATATATCAACAGGGAAATACTACTCAGCAGAAAACAGGAATGAACCATTGATGTATGAATCTCAAAATAATTATGCTGAGTGGAAGACACGAGACCAGAGGAGAGTACATACAGTGTGATAGCATTTATATAAAATCCTAGAAAAGGAAATCTAATCCAAAGTGACAGAAAGCAGATCAATGGTTGCCTGTGGAGAGCCAGGAAGGGGGATTACAAAGGTGCATGAGCCGAGTTTTGGGGGTTATGGCTCTGTTTATTACCTTGATTGTGGTGATTGTTTCACTGGTATATACATAAGTCAAAACTTATCAATGGCACTATTAATAATAAATAACTTTTGTTTATTAAGCTCTACTGTTCTAAGCACTTCTACATTAATGCAGTTAATCCTCTACAAAAACCTATGAGGTAGATTGTCATCTCTATTTTACAGATAAGGAAATTCATAGTTTCTGTAACTTAACCAAGCCTACACACCTGGGTTCATACCAGAGTCGGCCTGGCTCCGTATTATTAACCAATACTCTCTTCCTGCACTGGGCAAAATCAAGCTGTCTGCAAAAGTGAGTGCTAAAACATCATCTTTAAATTTTCCCTCTTTTCTACAAGTAACAGAAAATAATGGTAGCTTCTTCCATGATTATAAAAAATAACTAGATGAACTTGCAAGGTTCCTGCTGTGAGGTCAGGAACAGCAATGATGGGTAAATTTAAGACAAATAGGGCCCTGCATCTGACTCAGAATACATACACCCCAACTTTTCTGCAAAGGCACAGACTGCCACCGAGTAGTGAAGAGTTAGCTGTAGAGTAACAAGTAATGTGGGTGGGGGCCAGCCGATTGGCTCAGTTGGTTAAGAGCTCGCTCAAGAGTGCGAGCTCTGAGCAACAGCGGTTTGATTCCCAGCCCGAGCTGAGTTGCCACTGAGCTGCCAACAGGTGGCAGGATGGCTCAGCTAAAAAAACAAAAAACAAAAAAAAACTAGTGTGGGTGGGCACTGCACCCGAGGCAGTCTTTGAAAGTTTGCATCTTGTTAGGAATGTCCTTCAAGATGCAGATGGCTCCACATGGACAAGGTTCCTCCGTTTTTGAGTTTAGGAGATTTCTAACATTCAGATTGTAATATGACAGACCCGCTCGTCAATCCAACAGACCCGCTCGTCAATCCAACGTACCTGAGTGGGCTGGGCTGGGAGATTAGAAAAGAAAAACACAGACAAAAGCTGAGGACAGAGGTCCACTGACCGTTGATGGTGGAGCAGTGGCAAAGTTTATTTTTGCACAATGCTTATATAGAGGAAGCAATTTCCTCTTTGCAGGGGTTATGGGGAAACAATTTCCCCTAGCAAAGGTTATGTTTAGCAAGTTAAGCTGTCAGCAGGTTACATCCTGTTATGTATTTCTCAGAAGCATTTGCAGGAAAGCTGCTCTTAGCCTGCGGCTTCAGCTGCTCTCTGCTCTCCAATGGTACAGTGGGGGTGAAACTCTTCCCAGAGCTGCTCACCCAGATCTGAGAAGTCTGTCAGCTTGCCAGCTCTCAGACTCTGAACCCTGACTGCTCATAGTTGGCTCTCCACAGTAATAAGGTGTCCTTTTTCTTTCCTGGTTTTTTAACCCTTGTTTAGTGTTGTGTATGTGAGAAACGATGCATGGGAGGTAAAATTTTAAGCTGTAAAGGGTATGCAACGCACTTATTCTATACTCACACTTGAAGGTGTTGAATTGTGGGTGGAAATCACTTTTCCTTAGTATTTTGAAGGCATACACCATTGTCATCTAACTTCCAAGGCTACTGTTGAGAAATCAGATGCCATTCTTATTCCTGATCTTCTCTAGAAACTTTTTAGGATCTCCTCTTCAACCTGGTATATTGATCACTTGCAGCTCTTTGATGTTGGTTTTCCCCCAATCCATCTTTGCTGGGCACTCAGAGGATCCTTCCAATGTGGAAACTTACATTTCCTTTCATGTTTGAAAGTTTTGGGGCTTGGTTTTTGTCTTTTCTAACTAAAGAGAGTTCATGTTGGGAAAACGTGGGCTTGGAGTACTTGAGGGAGATTTCATGATGGAAGCTGAGAGTCTGAATCAAACATCTTACTGGGACAGGCAGAGGAACAAGCATTCCAGAGCTGTAGGAAGTGACACACACGGTTAAGAATTAGCGCAGTCCAGGAAAGGCAGTGATAACACTGATAAAAAGCATGAAAATGGGGAGAAACAAGGAGGCACGGTGGCCTAGCTGTGGAGAGAGAGACCTACGCCTGGACAGATGCCTTCTGCGTGTGTAGCTTCTGATGCTGAATGAAACTTGCATTCCATTTGAAGGTTTTCCCACACACCTTGCACTCATAAGGTTTCTCCCCAGTGTGAACTCGCTGATGCTGAACCAGGGTGATTTTCTGATTGAACGCCTTCCCGCACTCCTTACATTCAAAAGGCTTCTCCCCAGTGTGAATGCGCTGATGCCGAGTCAAGGCCGTGCTGGAGCTTAATCGTTTCCCACACTCGGGACATGCATAGGGTTTCTCCCCAGTGTGGAACCTTCGGTGCTGCAGGAAGAGGGAGCTGCTGCGGAAGGCCTTGCCACACTCCTTACATTCATAGGGCTTTTCTCCACTGTGGATTCTCTGATGCTGAATCAAGGCCATGTCTGAGCTTAAGCCTTTCCCACACTCTTTACATTTAAACGGTTTCTTTCCAGTGTGAATTATCTGATGCCGAAGAAGTAAGGAGTTACATCTGAAGTCTTTCCCACATTCTTTGCATTCAAAAGACTTTCCACCAGCGTGACATCTCTGATGTCGGTGGAAATCCGCCATTCGACTGAAGTATCTGTCACATTTTCCACAGTCATACGATATCTGAACACCAGGAATTGTCTGATTCATAGTGAGCTGTGTGCTGACACTAACATTTTTTCCTAATTTCTCATACTTCCCCCTGTTCTCAACAGCGCAGGCCTCATGATGCCGGGCTGACCCATCTGTGAAATCTCTCCTCTTTGGCTCTGTCTTTTTAACTATCCAGTGACTGTGCTGCCGCTCTAGGCTGCTCCCAAGGTCGAGGTGCTGGGGAATATTCCCCGGCAGCCCTTCCACTGTCAGTCTGTGGGACTCTGATTCTTTGGAAATGTGTTCCTTTGGAGTTGATTCTTCCTTCTGGGTTCTGGTCTCACCCCCTGATATTGCCAAAAGAAAACACAAGTGTCAGCCCCCAAGCCTGTGATAAGAAAATACTCATGCTAAACGTGAAACAGGATCAAGTGGCTCTGATTTGCCGAGTATGTGGATATCTCCAGTATGTCCACGAAATGGCTACCAAAGATCACCAGGCAACAGAGCCCCACAGGAGAAATGGAGAGAGGCAAGCAGGGCCAGGACGCGTTTCCATGAAGAGTGTGAAGACTGGGAAACAGCAGACTGTTAACTAGGGCACAAGACCGAGAGCTTCCTCCCAAGTCAATGGGGTGGACATAGGGCATTGCGGAACGGGGACCCTAGGTGAGAGGAAGACCACCGAGACTGGAGGAGGAGGGGGCAGCTCAAGCAGCTCAAGCACTGCAAAGGGTCCCCCAGGCTGAAATTCCATAGGAGATGCTTATTTTTAAACATCATCCATGTCATAGTCTTTGAAAAGAGACCTGCTCTCTGCCGTCAAGTTGGCTCTGCTAAAGCAGCAGGCTCCCAGGCAGGGTGAACAGCATCCAGAAGGAAAGGGGAAGATGAGGAGGCTTGCCTGTAAGGTCAAGGGCCCTGGGCATGCGAAGGACCCTTCCAAGAATGGACTTAGTCCCAGAGGACCCGGTAAGGATTCTGGGCCTTTCCACTAAAACACCACACAGGGCATGTATATAGTTTAACATGACAGTATGGAATATAAAATCCTAAACTAACTAAAAAGGGAAAACTGAAGGCTAGTCTGCCTTCAGTACTGAGGCCTTTTGCAGGCTAATATAATCTTCAGCACTGGGCCAGGGCAAACCCTCATGTGTTTATAAGCAAACTGCTTAGGAAATTTTTTTACCCAGATAGCCTGAAGTCCTGGGGGCACACCCAGAAGAGCACAGCTCTAACACAAGGCTGGGGCAGAGATCAGGGGAGAGCTGTGATTAATGGACATTCTCCATAAAGAGTCTGAAGCGCACAGGAAATTTTGCCAGGCGGAGAAGGAATGAAGCAGAAAACAAAGGCAAAAAAATACACTATGTTATTATTTTCAATTCTCATATTAATACCTTTCAAAATGAGGGAGCCATTCACCTTTCATTTACACCAAGTTTGGCTTTGAAAGTTCGCCTTTTAAAAAAAATTGTAAGTGTCCATGGGGGAAAGATGAAGCAAGAATGGCAGGAGGCAGGTGGCTGCAAAGGTGAGGGATACATGGGTGTGTTGTACTAGTGTCTGCATATGTGTGAAAATTTCCATTATAAAAATGAGATTTTTGGGCCGGCTGAGTGGCTCAGTTGGTTAAGAGCTCGCTCAAGAGTTTGAGCTCTGAGCAACAGCAGTTCAATTTCCGGCCTGAGCTGAGCAGCCGTTGAGCTGCCAACTGGTGGCAGGATGGCTCAGCTTAAAAAAAAAAAAAAAAAAATGAGATTTTTTTATTTCTTAAGTCAGTGTTTAGGAACTTGTAATTCCATTTTCTGTACAAATAATGTACTATACAAATATGTGAATGGCCAGACAGGCCCCCAGAAGCCTATTTGCCTCATAAGGTGGTTGACATATTCATCTCTGCAAAAACAAACTGGTGGAAAAATGTTTCCAAGTGACAGAGATGAAAAGAACTGTCATGTTTTAAGAGCTGCAAGTCAGACAGCGTCCCTTGGCAGGTGGTGAGGTGAGAAGGCACAGTTGAACATGCACAGAAATCTTACAGCCATGCCTTTCTTGGCAGAGACTGGCCCTTCCTCATTTGAGGGAGGCTACCACCATAAACTCAAGAGAATCACACGTAACAATTTCACAGGAATGAAAACAGTCTCACAAGAGAAGACACGCTTCTCACACACTGAAATGTAAATACAAAAAAGCAGGCAAAGCAGAAAAGGCAGCTAGTAGGTTCTTGTGCTCACCTGGACAGACACCTCTGAGGGCATCCCTGCCTGGAGGTTTGCAGGGATCGAGAACCCACGGCAGTTCCCCTCGCTCCAGCTGAGAGACCAGAACAGGTGTGGTGAATGGAAAAGCTGCCCAGAGAAAAAGAAACAGGAACAAAAAGGTAAAGGGACTCAGGAAGCAGGGTCCCCTCAGCCCTCTATCTTTTTCCGCCAAGCAAGATAGGGAGGGACGAAGTGAAGTCAGCCTGCACCATCTCAGAAGACAGAAACTTCCTACAGCAGGGGAAGAATCCTGGAATAATCCCTCACTCACGTGAAAGGCCCAAATCTTCTTCAGAGAACTTGGAAGACAAAGGGTGCTGCTGAGCTCCTAAGAGCTCTTCATTTCTCTGTGTGCTTGGGTGTAGGAAGCCATTTGAGAGCAGTGAGGCTGCAAACTGAGAAAGCTGCAGGCCTCCATGTTCTGTATGCTGAAAAAGCTGCAGAACTCCACGTTGGGTGAGCAGCAAAAAAGGGAACTGCTGGGGAGACCCAACAGCAGCCAGCTCATCTTCTATGCCATGGGAAAGCAGAAGTCCCCTGGAACTAAAACCACCAGACCCTCAAAAAGCACTTTATAAATATGGACTCACATGCTTTGGGACTTTCCACCATGGACTTGCTAACAGTTCCTATTTGCCTCAGTTTGACTTTGCTTAAAATATATCATTGGTTTATGTTGTATAATCATGTAACTTGCTGCTAGGAGAAACTGTTTCTTCAGACCTCCAAAATGTTGCAAAAGCGACATTGGTTCCCCATTCCCCAAAACCCCCTGCCAAAACCCCCTGTGCTTAGCTAAGGAAATTGTTCCATGCAAAAGAGGAAATTGTTTTCTCCACATAACCAGTGTGTAACCAATAAACGGTGTCACTCTCTGCCACCCACGACAAAGTGTCCCTCCTGATCCCAGCTTTTGTCTCTGTATCTTTCTTTTCTACTTGGTTTCTCTCATTTCTTAATCTCCGACCTGGTCCACTCCGGAACCTTCTAGGTACCTGGCTAGCACACGCCAGGTGGCCACTGTAAAGACGAGCGGGTCTCATCACTTGGGGCAGAGCCCCTCCCAGGGTTGGAGGGGCAGCTGATTTCCAAACCTGGCAATCCAGGGCTCTATGCACCCAGTAGTCTCCAGGGAGCTCAGCTTTCAGAGCGACTGCCCATATGGATTATTAGAGACCCACAAAGTCTCGGGAAGAAAGAAGCCAGGAAGCTCAAAGGGCACATGCAGACAACTGCAGGGAGAAGACATGTCTTACCCAGGGAAGCCACATTTGCATAATTCTCCAGCATCACCTCCCTGTACAGGGCCCTCTGTGCAGGGTCCAGGATGACCCATTCATTCTGAGTGAAGTACACGGCCACGTCCTCAAAGGTCACTGACTCCTGAAACAACAGGTTCCTGCTCATGCCTGTGTGAGGGCACTGTGTCAGGGCAGAGGCCTGCTGGGTCTGGTGAGATTGCCAGGGACAGCTATCCAGTGCCCTCCGCCGCCTCAGGGGCCAGACCTCAGCCGGCACTGCCCTCACCAACAGGGGAGCCCAAGACTCACTGCACCCCCTTGTGGTCATCCCCAGCAAACAGCCCTTCCTTCTCCTGAGGATCTCTGGGTCAACTCCGCCCAGCCCTGCTGTGGGCCAGCCGTTCCCTCTGGCTCCTTTCCCCTACCTGGGTCTTGTGTGCACACCTGTGTAAACGCAGCCCACAGCACTTTCGTACTGGCCTCCACTCCCGCCCTGATCCCACTAAAACAACAGTAACATGATGGCCAAGAGAAGAAGAGGCAGAGCAGACTAGTGGTGTTAAAAGAACTGTAGAAGGCAGGAAAGGATGAATGGTAACTACATTAGAAGCGCGGAGAAAGCAGACTCTTTCTTTCTTTTCAATTACAATTGACACTGAGAAAGCTGAATCTTAACTGCTGGCAGACGGGGAAGCACACCAAAAGGAGGCCAACTCACACCACAGAACCAAGGGTGAGCTCAGGATTTTTTAAGTGTGTGCTTTTTATCACTTGGTAAAATATTCTATCTGTTTAAAAGCACCAGGGAGGAGGAAGGATCCACAAAGTCCTTAGGACAATGAATGAAAACTATCCGCACAGAAGCACATCACTGAGACGTCTCAGAAACACGAGGACATAAGAAAGATCCTAAAGGCTTTCAGAGAAGGAAAAACAACACACACATGAAAACTGGGGAGTCCGGATGGCAACAGACGACGCGGCACAAAAGGGGACATGTTCTTCAAAGGCTGAGGGAAGACTTCATTTCTTGTCTACACGGTGTCCCAGGAGTCAGAATTAGCCTCCTGCCTGAACCAGAATAAGACACAATTACATAAAACAAGGCACTGGAGAAGTCTTTCCTTGGATAAAGCAATTCTATTTTTTTGTTGTTGTTGTTTTTTTAAAGCACTCTTTATCCAAGGAAAGACTTCTCCAATCTTGTGAACAGGCTGAAAGGGGTCTTCATTTGTATACAGTAATGCAAATTTCTACTTTTTTTTTTAAACTTTATTGGGGAACAGCCATGGTCATTGGTTACACATTGCTTTCATGCTACGATGGCATAGTTGACGCTTTTAAGGAGGGCACAGCTCACAGTGGCCCACGCAGGGATCGAACCGGCAACCTTGGTGTTATCAGCACCACGCTCTAACCAACTGAGCCTGTTGGGAGCCATTTAAGAGCAGTAAGGCTGCAAGCTGAGAAAGCTGCAGCCCTCCATGTTGAATGAGCAACAACAAAAAAAACTGCAGAGAAGACATCTTAGCTCATCTCCTGTGCCACGGGAAAACAGGAACTAAGATTGGACTCTCGGAAAGTACCTTCTAAATCTGGACTTTCATGCTTTGGGACTTTCCACCATGGACCTGCTGACAGTTTATATTTGCCTCTGTTTATGCTTGCTTACAATACATCATTGGTTTATACTGTACCTCATAGAACTTCATATAACTTGCTTAAAAGGTAGCATTAGATTATAATGTACATCATGTAACTTGTTGCAAGGAGAAATTGTTTCTCCAGACCTCAAACTTTGCATAAAGGACATCGGTTCCTCATTCCCCAAAACTCCTCGCCAAAATCCCCTATGCTTAGCTAAGGACATTACTCCCAGCAAAAGAAAAAGTTGCTTTGTCTATATAACCAGTACATATTCAATAAACGTCGTCACTTTCTGCCACCAGCAGTTAGTGACCCTCCTAATCCCATCTTTGGTGTCTGTGTCATCTCCTCCTTTTCTCAATTCCTCACGTCGACCAATCCTACTCGGGGGCCGTTCGGTGGGCTCCTGGCCTGACCACCCAGGTGCCCCGGGTGTGGAGCCGGCTCTGCACATGAGCCAACTGGTCACCCCGTATGGACTTTCCACTTTTTAATTTCCACTTTTCAGCCTCAAACGCCAAATCTATCCCAATCAATCCCCCCACATTCACTTTTTTCCCCATCCCCATTATCTTCCTTGGGCATTCTCATTTCTCTACCCTATCCCTCCCTTTAGTATTGTACTCCCTTTAGTATTTTAGCAAAATACTAAAAATTTTAGAAACTAAATAAAAATCATAAAAAATAGTTACATGGAAATTCTAAAACTGAAAAGTACAGGAGATAAAAACAACTGAAGAGAAAATTAATGAACCAGATGACAAATGAGAAAAAATAATCTAGAGTGAACCATAGAGTCTCAATAAGATGGAAAACACAGGGGTAAAAAAAAAAAAAAGAAAAGATACAATGATATAGTCAGGTCTATCATAGGCATAACTGGAACCTCTCCTTCCCCAAACACACCCAATAGTGACAGATTCCCAATGGAAGTCACTGGCCTGCGCAACTCAGGGTCTGGATGCAGGGCCGACAGCTGCTCTCTTGAGAGCACAAGGATGCGAGTCAACAGAGGCTGAGCGGATGCTGGCTCACCTGGCGCCAAGTGGCCTGGAGCATGGCTGGCGTTCCCGCTCCGCGCGCTGCTCTCGGGGCTCTGAGAAGGGCGGCTGAAGAGAAAATAAAGAGGCACGGGTAAGACCGATGCCGCCTCGCACCCTATAATGTCTTCTGTCCGCCCCGGGCCCCTCTCCGTCCCACCACCCTCTCACCACAAAGGTTAGAAAAATCGGTACGATGCCCCGGGGAAGAAAATCTGTTACCGGGACCCGGGAGCTGCGACCCGAGGCGACCGCTAAGCCCTGGCGGCGGAGGCGCACTGAAAGCGTGGGAACCAGGGAGTCTCTCTGGAGAAAGCGCTGCACCGGCTCAGCCGGAAGTGCGTCACTGTCTCCCTCTCTAGGAACCTGGGAAGCGGCTAATCTCCATGGTTCCGTGTCTGCAGCCGCCACCGCCACTGGTTTTGCAGACAGGTTGCTGTCCCCATTTTTGGGTCATGCAGGACCCCCCCAACCGGTAACTCCACTGGGGATGTCGGCAGGCCAGCTTAGGCCACAGAATGGTGTTTACAGTCCTGGAATTTATCCGGGGTTCTCTGGCGTTTGCCACTACGGGCTGCCCTTCCAGGTACTGGGGTGGGGGTGAGGGGGGGCAGTTGCATCACATGTGCCAAAGCAGCGGGGGGTTCTGTGGCTGCGCCGCAGAGGGTCGATGAGGAGGGCCCATCATTTCAACGGCCGAATGTGTACCGTGGGCAGCATCGACTACCTAGGTCCAGAAACCTGGCTGAGTACCCCTTATTAACTGTGAGGCCAGCACAAGTGTATTTGCCCGTTTCCTAGTGTGTTAAATGGGTTTGATGGTGGTACCAACCTCAAAAGGTTAATTAAATGAGTTAATGGCTTGGCAAAGTATTTACAGTGATGTCTGACACATAAGTGCTTGCGAGTTTGTTTTGTTTTCTGTTATTTGCTTTTGAAGATATAGAAGGGGCTTCCATAAGTGGCACAGTTTAGGGAGTCATTAACAGCCATTGACATTTAGCCTTACTGCCCTTTCCCACCCTATCCTGGTGTGTGTGTTGTAACACAAGATCATTTCTTTAATTACAATACAGCTGAGTAATCATTTTCATTCAGTGTTTTCTTAGGAAGATGTTATACATAACACACTTCAGATCCTACAAACACACATATCGGGGATGTCAAAAAAAAGTATACAAGTGGACACTTGATCAATGCTGTTCAAGCAGTAGTTTGTCATAATCAGAAGTGTCTGGACGCTGATGGTAACCATTTGAGCACCTCTTGTAACTGCAGAAGTCAAACATGACTGTATTCATCTTTTGTTTTTGGTAGATATTGAGTATTACAATTTTAACTCTCCCATTGGGCGCAACTGATCTCAGATTGTTTCGAATTTCTCTTGATTTTTATACTGAATTTATGTAATAAACATATTTTTACTTCGTGGCAAATTAAACTTTCATTCTGAATAAATAATAAGCATGCTTACACGTTCTTTTCATTCATTTTCAATTTAATTTTTTTTTTTTTAGCTGAGCCATCCTGTTACCTGTTGGCAGCTCAGCTCGGCCAGGACTCGAACCGCTGTTGCTCAGAGCTCTCACTCTTGAGTGATTTCTTAACCAACTGAGCCACTGGGCTGGCCTCATTTTCAATTTAAATAAATGTCATGTACGCATCTAATAGATGCATTGCACCCGAACTCATAACTTTTGCATTGCATCCGATGGAGGATTAATACAGTTTTCCTTTCTTAAAATGTGTGTACATTTTTGAGGGGCACCCTCTATATATTTATTATCCATTTATCTGGATCTTTATGCAAAAGAAGACTAAAGACAAAGAAATATGAAACTAATGCAAACAATGCCAAATTTCCACTGCTATAAATAACAAATGCCCTGAGAAAACTTAATACAACACTTACATATGGTTGGGTAAGATTTAATTAGTGAAGTTTCACAAAATCTTATTGGAAATGAGACAACCACCAACAGCAGGTGCAGATGCAGCCTCTCAGCAGTTTCCTTGGTGCCAGGATACCCAACAGCAGCTGCTCATGTTGCCCACACAGGATACTGCAGTGGGGCCTCTGTATCGGAGAAGCACAGCTTTTGTGAACTAAGCTTTTATATTCAAGGTGAGCTAATAAGAATTTACACATACACACACAAATGTATGCTGTATTCTCACATCATTATTTAAATCCTTTCCCATGTTGCTTTTCAGTCCTGAAACTGATTCTGAGAAAGGTCAGAGTCTGTAACCACTAGACGGGAAGTAAGGCCAAACCAATAAGATCATAACATCTGATACAATTAGCGTCCCTTAAACTTTTCTTGGTGTGACCTAAGTTCTTCATTATATAAAATTAATGACAAAGTTCCACGACTCACAAATTCAGATTTAATCACGGGACACAGAGTAGGTGTGAGGATGTGTCCAAGGGCATGCACGATACTTGATCAGAAATGGACTCTTCTGAGGCAGGAGCTCCACAAGTCATTGTTGGGTTTCTCTTCTTCCCTCTGGTGCTCACCAGTGTGAGGGCACCACATTCACCCCATGTAGAGTTTGTAGGTTACTGTACCCAGGCACCTGCCCTAAAGTGCACAATCCCAAGTCATTTTTGTACCTACATATTTGAGCAGGCACTAAAATTAAACAGCGATATGGGTGGAAATAGCAAAGGAACTCAAACAGAAAAAACACATCTCCTTCCAATCATATTCTTTTCACTGACTATTTTCTTGGTCTACTGCTTAGTTACACAGGATCCTCCGAATGGTCATTATCAAGGTAATAAAAAGTTCAAGGCTCAGATTCCTCACAGTGAGCCTCACGCCTAGCCCACCAAATGGCCCTCCTTAAATCCTGAAGGCAATCATTGGATACTTTCTCTGATTTCTTCCTCTCATGGGCTTTGCATTCCTCCTATTTCTCAAATTATAACGCCTATCTCATTGTAATGCTGTACTCTTAAAATCCAGAATGTTCTGCAAATTTCCAACTGTAGCCCCAGAAGGCAGGTACAGACTGATGGAATAGTTCAACACTGGACACTGTAAAGGAAAAATACGACCATTTCCCGCCCAGGGGATAGAAGAGAATAATCAACATGGTCCTTAAGTATGAGAACTTAAGATGGAGTTGAGAAAACAATCATGACTTACACAAGATCAGAGGAGCCTCGATAAAGACATGATCAGGAGCCAGTGGAAACATAACTGTAGGTGCACTGCAAGTTGAGAACATGAGGGAGCTCACAGGCAGTGCGACAAAGGTTCAGGCTACGAGGTAATGGCTTCCCTGGAGAAGCAAGATCCTGAAAGAAATGTACTGTTTGGACAGGTGAAGAACTGGCCGTTTCAGATGAGGGGAGCAGCATGAAGAGAGGCACAGAGGGAGAACGCATCACTGCAGGCGACGAAGATGGGCATGGCCAGAGCAGGGCACACACGCTGGGGAGGCAGAAGGGAGGGGACTGAAGGAGAATGGGGCTTAACTGCAGATGGCCCAGTGACATGGGCAGGTTTCTTCCTGGTATGAAACTTCGGATGCTGAATGAAACTTGCACTCCATTTGAAGGTTTTCCCGCACACCTTGCACTCATAAGGTTTCTCCCCAGTGTGAACTCGCTGATGCTGAACCAGGGTGATTTTCTGATTGAACGCCTGCCCACACCTGGTATTCATAAGGTTTCTCCCCGGTGTCGATCTTGTGATGTACGATAAAGCGGGAGCTACAGCTGAATGTTTTCCAACATTCATTGCATTTATAGACTTTTCCCCCCGTGTGAAACCGCTGGTGCTGAAGAAATGCTGAACTCTGGCGGAAGGCCTTGCTACACTCCTTACATTCATAAGGTTTCTCCCCCATGTGGAGCCTCTGATGCTGAGTCAGGACTGAATTCAAACTGAAATTTTCCCCCCAGTCTGTGCATTTGTAGGGCTTCTCCCCAGTGTGAATTTGCTCATGGATGATGCCGTCATAGCTACACCTGAAAGCTTTCCCACAGTCCTTACATTTAAAGGGTTTCTCCCCAGTGTGGATTCGTGGGTGCCGAATCAGCTTTGAGTTGTAGCTGGTTTTCCCACAGTCCTTACAGTCACAGGGCTTCTTCCCACCATGGAGTTTCTGATTCTGAAGGAGGTGGGAGTTTTGACTGAAGGCTTGTCCACATTCCTGACACAAGTAGTTTCTCCCCAGTGTGGATTTTCTGGTGCTGTGACAGTTTTGAGTTACATCTGAAGGCTTTCCCAAATTCTTTGCATTGGTAGGGCTTCTCGCGAGTGTGAATTCCCTGATGCTGGTGAAGGTCTGAATGTTGGTTGAAATACCTGCCACACTCACTGCATTTATAACACACCTGTTCTCTAGGTAGGCCCTGCTTCGTAATGAGATGTGTGCCGACACCACTGCTACCTTCCAACTTCCTGGCTATCCCTTCTCTATCAATGGTGGAGAGTTTATGATCGTGGACTGTCAAGTCTGTGAAATCTCCTTTCTTTGAGTTTCTCTTCCCCGTGTCACACAGTGATGCCTTCTAGAAGCAGCCCTTAAAGTGAGGGTGCTGGGCAGCACCCATCAGCAGCACCTCTGCTGTGAGCCTGGCACACTCTGGTTCTTTAGCAATGTTCAGCTTCAGCATTTCCTCCTCCTCCTCAGCCTTGGTTTTACCCCCTAGCACAATAAAAAGAAAACATCAGAGGCATTTATGCTAGAAGGGGAAAGGGATAAAGCAGTATTAGCTTGCCCTGGACAGTTTTTGGAGAGAGTCAGAGCCACCTGATGGTGCCCTGAAGGGAAAGTAAAAATATTGGAGGTGGAGAAGGCAAGCAATGCCATCGGCCAACACAAACTGCAGACAGCAGAGGCTGTGAACTGAGACAAACAGATACAGAAAGCTGGGAATGGGGTGGAGAAGTCATCAGGGGGAAGCGATAAAGAAAAAGTGAGGGAGCTGAAGGTGAGGCAGGAGATGTCTAAACTGGAGGAGAGAGAGCTGGGTCAACAGTGTCCAGAGGGCTGGGAGATGCTGTCTGGAACCGTGGATCCCAAGGCCCAATCAAGGCATGAAACTGTCCAAATACTTTACAACAGTCTGTAACCTCCAAAGAGATGTTGTCTGTCACAAGCCCAACTGGGGAGAAAATGGTTTATTACATTGCTGGTTGTGAAGGGTTCATAAAAGGACCCCCATTTCAAACCCATGATCTACTCTGGGAGAGACGGCTACCTCTGAAAGGAAAGAAGACGTACCTGGTCAAGTCCCTTCCAGGATTAGAGATGGCAGTTAGGGGGTTTGGGGGAGACCCGTGCTCTCACTGGTGGCACTACAACACAGAAACCTTTTTTGCCTTTTCAAGCATCAATTATATGACAAGTGAAACTTCCATCTTAGTGTTTCTCAAGCTTTTTTACCATGTCTCACATAGATCCTGACCCAGGACACACATGCTTACACACACACACACCTGAAACAGAAACACCATCCCCACAACCACTGTATGACAGAAGAAAAACCTTTTTCATGTTAAATCTTAAAAAGACAGGAGGAGGCCAAGCTGGGGGGGACGATGGTGGTTCTCCTGCTTACCTGCGCAGACACTTCTCAGGGCCTCCACCCCCACGGGTGTCCACGGATCCAGGCCCTGGGGTCCGTCCCCTCACTCCATCTGGAATATCAGATCTGGTCTGGGGAATGGAAATGCTGCTGAAGGAGAAAGAAAAGGAACAGGAAGCTGAGGAGAGGCCCTTCTGACCCCAATCAGTCCACCCTCTGCTTTGCCAGGTGAAAAAAGAAGTGGTCGTCCCCGGATACTAAGTGAGGTCAGTGTGGAGAGAGTCTGGGGATGAAAGGAAGCCCAAATTGTCTCATCCAGGAGGAAGCTCATTCCAGCTCTGAGAAGACGGAAAGCTCCCACCGTCGTCGGAGGTGTACACATGGGGGTCCTAGGAGGCGCTCACACAGAGGAGATGGAGCCAAGGTCTCCTCCAGGAAACTGGAAGAGTAGAGGAAAACGGGCCACTGGGAACCTTCTTAGCTCTCTGTGCCCAGAGCAAAGCCTCTCTCGGGAGAGTCCCCACCAGGAAACAGGGAAGTGTCAAGTCTTGTTTAAGCCAAAGTGAACCCAGATCTTTCTCCAGCCGCTACTCTTGCGACTGGGTATTACGGAGCTCAGCTCATGGAGCATTGATCCCAGTGGCATTAGAGGTTCCAGATCTGCCGAGGAGGAAGCCATGAGCCCAGACGGCAGACGCTGAGTTTCAGAGGAGGACAACTTACCCAGGGAGGCCACATTTGCATAATTCTCCAGCATCACCTCCCTGTGCAGGGCCCTCTGCGCGGGGTCCAGGCCGGCCCGCTGGTTCTGGGTGAAGTCCTCAAAGGCCACTGACTCCTGAAACAACAGGTTCCTGCTCAAGCCCTGTGCAAGGTCAGAGGAGGGGCTGATCTCAGGAAAGGGACGAATCTACTGGAGTCTGTGGCTCTGAGCCCCATGGAAGGTTTGTACTGACAAGGAGAGCCGCACGGCACCCGCGTCGGGGCAGCCCTCAGCCAGCATTCCCGTTTCCAATGTGCATACCTCTGGGAGCCTGATACTCTCATCCCAAGCACACAGCCCAGCACCTGCTCTTGTCTGCCTGGTGATCATGTCAACCCCTTGTCTGGCTCCCTCAGCCACGTCTAGCTTTCTGGCATGTTTTCTAGTGTGACCATGGTAGGTTATCCGCCTTTCACCCTGCCCCCACCCATCCTGAAGCCCCCACCAGAGCCCTCCACTCAGTGTCTCACTGGTCTTCCCTCCACTAGAAACAGAGGGGCAGTTCCATGGCCACTGAGTTCCGTTCACTCTGGATGATTTCCCCCCTTTCTGCCATCTTGCATTATCAGAAAGCTGGCAATGTGCAGTGTCACCTCCTCCTTTCCTAACACACATGACACCAGGGACAGGATGGCAGTCTCTGCCCTTGAGCATGGACCTACCTCCTGATCTCCTAAGCTCAGTGTGGCCACCGGTCCTGCCCTCCTCACCAGCTGTGTCTCTTTCTGCCTTTTGCTGGGGCCATTTCCACCTTCCCAAGGGAGGAGGAAACCATCACAGGCTGTTTAGGCCTTTGGGCCGTCAGTTCATATATCAATTCACTCAATCATCAGAACACATCTGTGAAGTCAGAATTAATATCCCCCTTTTTAGACAGGAATCAGCAATATTAAGCACTTTTAAACAGACATAAGGGAGTCCTCTTTATCTGAGTATTTATTAATGTATAAAGAAGCAAAAATTTCAAATGAGCTGACCGCTTATGTAACTCAGTCCACTGCAGCATCTCTCCGTGACTCACACTGTACCCTATCCCCCAGTCTGTCATGTCAATTACCTTCTCTTTGTGATTTTGGCTCAAATGCAGAAACAGAAGTGGATGGTCCAACGTTTACAACAAGCAGCCAAATACATATTGCTCTTAAGTATCTGGGATGGAGCTTTCTCATGACATGACACATCCATTACATGATACACCCAGCTTCCTTATTACATGATCTAGGACACTGGAGAGAAATTCAGTGAAATCCTCTGCCGTTAAGAAAACTCTAGAGGGACAACTGCTGCCAGTGCCGCATAAATATGTGCCAACCAAGGGTACAGGTTCTTAGGTTACGCTGCAGTCTTTGCAGTGGGCTTGAGGCACAGGCTCCCACCTCACTCAGCATTCCTCCAAGAACCCACCTCCCTCCTCAGTCCACTGCTCCACATGCTGCCTGTTTGGCTTCACCAAACCCTGGTTTCTTGTGGGAGTACCTGTTTAATCTCAGGAGGTGGTCTTTCTCTGTGTATTGTCTGTCATGCAGACGAGCACGCCCAAATGCTAACTTGTCCATTAACTCTCCAGATATGGTACAAATAAATGTAGGTTCCGGGAGATCTGGGGTGGGCCTGAGCTTGTGCCTTTCTAACAAGCCCACCAATGAGGCCGAAGCTGCGCCTCTGTGCACCATACTCGCAGCGTGCATGGATGTAGTCTCACTTTCTAGAATTTCTTAGCTGATGCTTCTCTTTCCCAACCTGATTCTCCCAAGTTTACCTAATCTCCCTCATCAACTGCCCTAACATGCTCCCTTGCCATACCCTATGGATGGATGCCCAGCTAAGCACAGCACTGACCAAGTCAGACCGCTGGTCCTATAATGACCTTTCATATCTGTTCTGAATACGGAAAACTGGACGAAAGCTCAGCTCACCTGGAACCACGCTGCCTGGCTTCATGCACTGCCCTCTTTGCAAAAGCCAGAACCTGCAGAGCTAAGAGGAGAGAGCGCCATGATAAGGCCCACCCTTTCTTGTTTCCCACACTTGCTGCCTCTCCCTCCCTCCATTTTCTTGCCACCATCACTGGAAACATATTCTTAGGACATTCTGGTTGTTGTCAATGCACCCTCTCAAGTGATTCATGGGGTGCTGCAACTGCTCCCTTAGTACACGCCACAGGTTTGCCTGCTGAAGCTGGAAAATCCTAGAAAGAACATCTGTGAATCAAGTCAAGAACTGTGGTGGATTCGTGGCAGTTAAGAAAACCCCTGGCCCACTATGACTGTGTTACTAAGTACTTTGCACTGGATGCTTCTAGCGATCAAAGCAAAGACCCAGCGCAAGCTTCTGAAGAAAGTAGGGTAACAGGTGCCCCTGGGCCAGCCACGGGCTGCAGGACAAAATGCAAGTGGTGTTCTGGCCCCAGCGGTAAAGGGTAAGACGCCCAACGTCCAGATAGCGACGCTGACGGAGATTTGCCCTGTATCTGAACACTCCTCCCAGGGATGCAGGCAACTCCCAATGTCCCCGGTCCGCATCCTGAGAACCGTGAGCCAGAGGATGTCAGGCCAGCTCTTCGCCCCAGGAAGGTTGATCGCGCCTCTGCTGGCAGGAGACTGGGCACTGGCTCCTCGCGACGCCTGAGCTCCTGGACTGGGAGGACCAGGCCGCCCAGGGGGAGCGGGGTCATCTAATCCCGGCCGCTCTTCCTGGAGCAATGGCAGCCCAGCAAATGTAGCCAAGACGTAAACACGAGTGGCGGGCACTCTCAGCGCCTCTAGGAAACCGGGAGCCTGGCCCTTCTCCATGGTTCCCCCAATGACAGTGGCTCGTCAGTCATTTCCTCCAGGGCTTACCAACCCAAGTTGACGATGGGCTCAAGGAGATGCCACATCATACTCCTGGTGATGCTCTGAATTCTGACTCTGACACTTACTAGCAGTAACCTAATCTTCTAATGAATTTATAACCTGTTTCCAGCTAATGTCACTGGGCTGTGACCTAATATCATGAAGTCTGGCGTCTGGGTTCAAATTCTGACTCCATCATTTATTCACTGTATGGCCTTGTGCAAGTTCAACTCTGTGCCTCCATTTCTGAATTGAGAATATAAGTTTCAAACTCATAAATTCGATGGATTAACCATCAGTCAATTCATGTAAAGCACTTATTACTTCTGGTTCTATACTATAAGTCAAAATAAGTGCCAGTTCTGTTGTTGCTGAAATTATTATAGCCATGCACCACTTAGGGATGGGGATACGTTCTGAGAAAGGCACTGTGGGCTACTTCGTGGTTGTGCAAACATCAGTGACTTACACAAACCTGGATGGCCTAGCTGCTACACACCTGGGCTGTATGGGAGAGCCGCCTATTGCTCTGAGGCTACAAACCTGTGCAGCATGTTACTGCCCTGAATACTGTAGGCAATTGTAACACAACGGTATCTGTGTATCTAAACATCAAAAGATAGAGAAGGTATAGTAATACGGTACAAAGATGAAGCATGTACACCTGTGCAGGGAGGGCACTTACCACGAATGGAGCCTGCAGGACAGGAAGGTGCTCTGGGTGAGAGTGAGTGAGTGAGGGAAGGTGAAGGCCTAGGACACGACTGTGCACTACTGGGGACTTCGTAATCACTGCACACTCAGGCTACACTGAATTGATAAAACACAAGAGTAAATGAAGCACTAAGAGACAATTACACAATCAAGAGACAGTAAGAACAAGATGTATGGGGCTACTGCTGACTGGACGCGAAATACTGTTTTACAGTCAACTTTCATATATGTAGAAAGAATGCACTGTAAAATAACGATAAAAAGGATAGCATAGTAAATAAACAGCAAGTTGTTTATCATCATGTACTGTACATAACTACATGTGCTAGTTTCATGACTGGCGGCAGCTTTACTAACACCAGCTTCACGGCAAACAATGTATTGAGCTACGTTAGGACAGCTAGGGTGTCACTAGATGAATTTTTCAGCTCCATCATAATCTTACAGGACCACACTGTCCTACATGTGCTCTACTGCTGACCAAAACGTTGCTGTGCAGTGCATGACTATATCCCTGTATCACCACTCTGCTATTAAAACTGTATCTTTCTCCAGTCGAGATATAATAATCATGGCAATAGTGCTTCCTTTTGGCCAGGCATTGTACAGATAGCTTTGAGCTTAGAGACCCGTGCATCATTGACTATCCCACCAGTTCCTACAACTCAAAATATTCCAGACTTATCTCATCCTTTCCTCACCCTCCTGTTCCTGGATGAATGGCATGGTTGGCTGGAACAAAATACTCCACAATTCTGGTTCCAGTCCCTGCGTTTCCCCACAGTACCCAGTCCAGACTTAAGAGCAAGTAAGGGCGCTCGAGGATATTCCTAGTTCTAAAAAAAAAACCATTTTGAATCTGGAACTCCAAAGAGCTAAACCATCACAGATACAAGGTATAATATTGTGACATACGAGTAAGAAATACATGTTTTGGCCTGTCCCCATTTGCTGACAGGAATCTTCTAAAACCCCTGGAATCTTGAGTATTGTCTTCCTGTATGCTTGTGACTGGTGGCCGGGGACTCCTAAATAGCTTCAGGGTGGGAGACAAAAACCAGAGGAACCAACCATGGGATTGGAACTTTCACCCCCACCCCTGCTGAGGGGCTGGAGATTGTACTAGTCACCAATGGCGCATGGTTTAATCAATCATGCCTATATAATAGGCCTCCAAAAAAAAAAAAAAAACCCTAAAGGCACAGGCCATTCAGAGAACTAACTTTCAGGTTAGTGAACAAACTGGGTGCAGCGGGTGGCAAGCTGGAGACCATGGAAGCTCCCTGTCCCTTCCCTAACACCTTGCCCTATGTATCTCTCTGGCTGTTGCTGAATTTTATCCTTTGTAATAAACTGGTAACAGTTCCGTTTCCCCCAGTTCTCTGTTTTTCTAGTAAATGATCAAACCTGAGGAGGTAGTCCAATTTATAGCTAGTCAGTCAGAAGTACAGGAGGCCCAGGACTTGCAATTGGAATCTGAAGTGGGGTCCGATCTTAACTCTGGGTAGTCAAGTGTCAGAATTAAACTGGTTGGTGTGGGAGAAAAAAACCATACATTTGCTATCAGAGATGCTGTAAGAAATAGTTTGTATAAAGGCAAAATACTTTCAGACAGGTAAGCAACATTTACCATTCATAAATGCTAAGTGGAAGAAAAACCAGAGGATACAGTGAAGATAAAAAATGAACAAATCCAGGACCGGCCAAGTGGCTCAGTTGGTTAAAAGCTCACTCAAAGAGTGCGAGCTCTGAGCAACACGGTCACCGGTTCGATTCTCAGCCCGCGCTGAACTGCCGAAGAGCTGCCAACAGGTGGCAGGATGGCTCAGCTAAAAAAAAAACCACAAAACAATCCAAGAGTAAGGGGACAGCAGCAGCAAACCATGAAACCAGCTAAGACATCACTTGAGGTTTACATACAAGGCCTACCAAATGGCATCACCACTGCCACTTAACCGGTTTGGACCTTTGTCAAGGTGAGGATACTGCCAAGCTTGATACACCTGACCTTCCCATTCCATCTTGTTCCCTAAGATTCAGTCCTGAATGGCTTCCTAAGTTCCCCCACAGCTCTAATGTCTGCTTCCTTGTTCTGTTGTCTCTAGTCCTGTGCATACCAGAGGTTCATACCACCCTTCCCCTTAAGTCTTTTAGGTTGCAGCTTAAGATCCCAATTTCTCTAGGCAACTCCCCAACCCACACACAAGGATGGGCAACCCGAAATTGCCTCTATTTCCTCTACCACAAAAGCTATTATACTGTTATTGCTTGCCTATTAAACCACCACACAAAATGAGTTGTCCGTTATTCCAGTGCGATTCAAGAAACCAGCTTTTGTTTACTTGTTTTTTTCCTAGTACATTTTTATAAGAAAATCTACTAAACTCTCAAGTAAAAAGCTAAAATTTTACATTTATAGGAAATATATTTCTATAATAAAGAAAAAAACCATTGGTGTTCTAATTGATTTTCAATAAAAATGTTATCACTTCGTGTGACAGCTTTACACTACCTGAGTCTGGGCAGAGTGCAACACAGAAAATGACTCGCTAACAATGACATCAACAATCCCACTGTCTACCTGCTTCATAATCCAGGCCCCAGCAAGACTTTAATCCACAATTAAGTAAATTTGTCAAAAAGAACCTTTATTACTTTTGTAATAGCCTTTTATGTTCTTATGCTTTCTTGCCAGATGCCTTTGGAGCAGGTGCTTTCTGGGCTGGAGCTTTCGGACCCTTCTGAGCTTTTGGAGGTGCTGCCTTCTGGCCTGCAGCTTTCTGGGTGGGAACCTTCTGGGCTGGAGCCTTCTTGCCTGCAGCAGCCATCTTTTTTGCTGGAACCTTTGCAGCAGATGCTACAGCTGCAACTGCAGCTGCACCTTTAGCAGCAGGTGCTTTTTTGGGAGACGCTTTCAGAAGTGCTGCCTTTTGAAGCTTCCTAACTTCAAGCTTGATTATTCGGTTCCTCTGAAAAATTTCAATAAGTATTTGTAATGTATATGTATAGAAGACAATCTTTATGCCCAAGACCCCTATAAAGTCAACTTTGGTCTACAAAGCTTGGGTAAACAGAATTACCAAACAAGTTTAAGTTAAAATGTAACAATCCTGTAGTAATTTTAAAACTTACCATTTTCTTTGCCTTCATGACTCTGTAACGATCAAAATCTGTCATCTTGGCTTTCTGTTAAAAAAAAAAAAAATCCAACTCATATCACCTTCCAACCTCCAGTGAAAAAAGGGCAGAATTCAAATGACTAAGTTATTACCTTTTCTCTGGCTTCAATCTTCTTGGCCCATCTTGTGGCTGCCCATTTTGTATTGATATCTGCCTTCTCCCAGGCTTTTCGGACGTATTTCTGGCGGGCACTAGAAAGAGCCAAGACCATCGATTAAGGAATCAGCTTTGAAGTCACAGAGATGCAAGGACAGCTTTGCGTCCTCTGAAAAGCACAATTTATACTCCTCAAGTTAAAAAGCATAAGCAAAATGATGCCAAAAGTACCCTTCACATTCATTATACTTCTAGCTCTGTTGTCTCTAGAGAACACACCACCTGGCACACTACAGGTTTTACTTATTTGAATGGTATTCACTAAACTAGGATATCTTAAATCTGAAACACAATTTTAATAAGAAATGTAAACCAGCCCATGTTCAGGATTTAAAAATCACCTCTCGTACAGAATACCACCCCAGAGTAGTGAATATGTACAAAGCAAAAGAATGAGGCAAAGTTAATCCTTAGACCTAATGTTTTTACTCTGTACAAAAATACTTAAAGATTTGATCATAAAATACAATTATAATCATTTTGAAATCTATCAAAACCCAGTGTGCTTAAAAAATAAAGAAGTAGTTACAGCCACGTGTGCCATTGCCACCAACCGTAAATGGAGTTGGTAACAACAACACACCATAGTGGTTTTTTTTTTAAGATTTTATTGGGGAATCGGAATAGACAAGGGAAACAGACAAGTTGCTGTCATTCTGTTCTTCAGTCTAGTTGTGGAGGACATTGTTTCCCTGGTCCATGTTGGTACCACCATTGCGCTCTTCCCGGGTGAGGCGGTAGCTCGCCTGCCACTGGATGGCCCGCTCATAGCAGTTTATGGCAGCTGCTGGCCAGCCTCACTGCAGCCCAGCTCCCAGGTCGAGCTGTTGTTCACCATCTTAGCTGTAGAGGGCGCAGCATCACTGGCCCTTATGTGGGATCCGAACGGGCCCTGCTGCTCAGAGCTGGTGTCCCAAGCCAACTCCTAACCAACGTGCCACTCGGCCGGCCCCATAGTGGTTTAACTTTCATAATCTACATGTCAAGAAAAAATTACTACTGATCAATTGCATGTAAGCAGTTGGGAATAGAACCTCTTTCATGGCTGCCTGTCATATGAGATGATGTATGTTAAATATACTTATAACACCCACTAGAAGTTCAACTAATGACAGCTAGTATTGGGAAAAAAGTTAGAATTTTTGTTTTGAAGCTAAAAGTGACTAAAATATGAACAGGATACCAGAATTCCTTAGGGAGGTCTTTGGTGTGTAAATCCTGAAAGAAGGTAAAAGATGATGGCAAATCTGGATAAAGGCAAAGCCGAGAACTACCAGATGACAGAACATTTAAAAAGTAACTAATGCCCATCTACTTCTACACTGTAAATTCCTCTTCGGAGTTGCTCTCCCCTTCCAACTGTTTACTACATTCTCAAGGGAAAAACAGCAAGATAACTAAAACATTTCTTTGAATTAAATGAAGTAACCTTTTTCTAGTATAAACAAAGCCGGGGGAAGGGTGTGATGGTTGGTAAGACAGTTACCTGTGTGGGAACTTGAGGATGAAGTCAGTGAGCTGCATGCATTTGAAAGGCATGGCCTGTCTCCTTACTTGAGTGCAAGGTCCATCAACCAAAGCCTAGAATACACAAGACGAGGACCTCAGCACAAAACTGAACATTCAAAACGGACAGATATTCTAGAACATCCGGCCTTTCAGAATCATCAAGTCCCCACTATGTAGATGCTTTTTAAAAAGACAAAACTATTAATAGTACAGCATATAACCCAAACACACATACTTTACTTGACAATTTTCAGTCTTTTAATTCTTACATTTTCAATAAACAGCTTTACGTTCACTCACATCCTTTGGTCAACCCGTTAGTTTGTGGTTCTCAAACATTGACAAGAGCCAACAACAGCTTTCTATGTGCTTGGCTCTGTTCTAAATTCGCTTTGCATGTGGTAACTCATTTAAACCTCACCAATGTCTGACCCACCAGTTAAAAGCTCTGGCTCGTCTGAACAGCAGAGGTAATACTTAAGCCCAGTAGTCCTGGTCTACTCAGGTCTGAAAGCCCTCCTGTGCCTGCTTCTTCAATGGTAAAATAAAGCCACCACCCACAGCACTCCCCCCCAGGACCATTACCATTTACACCGCTGCACGCCATCCCCGGCCACGTGATGCTGTGACTTTCCTTACACTTACCCTGTTCTGGTCAATCACATCTACGATCGCGACCAGCTTCCCGGCATGAGGCCCGAAGGAGACGTAGGCCACCCGGCCAACCTCCACGAAGCGCCTGAACACCTAAACCCGGGGTGGGAGAAGGGGGAGAACAGAGAAATTAATTAAAACGCCTCCAGTTTAGCAGGCTTTGCAACTTAAAGGCAACATGGGTAAGCACGGTGAATAAGAACGCTGAGGGGAACACGCCCCAAGTGCCATGGGACGACCTGGATGGACAAAATCAGCAGGCCGCGCCAAAAGCCGGGTTCCCGGCCCGCCCCAGCCGGGCAGCTCTGGCGGCGGCGGCGCGCACGCGTGGCCCAGGCGCGCCGGGCCCTCCACGCGCTCGTAGGCCGCGCGTTGGGGAAGCTCCCAAACTCCTTGCTCGGCCCGCTCGGGGATCCTCATCACGCGCTACCTAAGACCCGCTGGGCGCCGTTCCGCGCCTCCGCTCCCACGCCCAGGCGGTGGGGGAGCTGCATGGCCGCCAGACCCGGAGCCGGTAGGAACGATACTCACCATGTTGGCGGCGTTCGGCGAGAAGGAAGAAGGCCCGCGACCGTGCGCATGTGTAGAAAGCCGCCCCGCCCCTATGGTAAATTGTACGCTGACGTGGACACCGATTGGTTGGGATTGGGGCGTGCGTGCGTACTCTCACGCATGCGCACTTGGAAGTATGGCGGAGCCGGCTTGAGTCTGGTTGCTTTGTCGTGGGCGCGAGCTGCGAGGTTGGCTTTGGTCATCTGGCACTGGCGTTCACCTCTTAGTATTTTAGGGTGAAGAAGAGCACAGAAGCTGTAACTCCAATGTAACTCTGTACACATCCTACTTGACTTTGTTTTTTAAACATTCTTCCAACTTTGCATTACTCAGTACTCTCCCGCTTTTTGTCTAAATGTTACTCATGGCTTAGTACTAGATTTTTTTCTCTCCCATTAAGTGACCCCACTAGTGTTAACATTTCATTTCAAAGTAATTAAGACTTAAGAGAAAAGTTGCAAAAAGTACAAATTATTCCCAAAAACGTTTCTCTTAGATTCCCCAAATGTTAACATGTTTGTAGTATTGTTCTATCATTTTTTTTCTGAACTATTTGACAAGAAATTGCAGACGTGATGTTCCTTAATCTCTACACACTTAAATGTGTAAAAACAAGGACATTATTGTACATAATCAGCTGAATAAAAATCAGGAAGTTAGTACTAATACGGTCTATTATTTAATTTTCAGTTCCATTTAAATGTTATCAATTGTCCCACTTAGTTTTTTAGAGCAAATGAAAAAAGTTTTTTTGTCCATGATCTAATGGAGGATTACAAGTTGCACTTAGTGATATTCCAGATTTTTAAATCTGTAAAAGTTCCTAAGCTTGTCCTTGTCTTTCATAATATTGACATTGTAAAATACAGGCTAGGTGTTTTGTAGACTGTCTTTCAATATGGATTTATAATACTTTTCCTCACGATTACATTCAGATAATCCATTTTTGGTAGAAACGCTATCCTTGATGTATCATATCAGAACACATGCAGGAGGATATCTTTGTCCTAATATGACTTTATAAAGGTGGTGCTAATTGTGCTGACAATTCCCAAATCTATTTCAGTCTTTCCCTCTAAACTCTATGCCACCATATTTTCCCAGTACTGTTGAAAGCAGCCTCCTATGTGACCTGCTTTTTCCATTGGGCCGTTTATTCTCTGCTGATTAGTCATATCTCAGTTAATGGCAATCCCCTACTTTTAGTGGCTGAGGAAAAAATTTTGGAGTAATCCTTGACGACTCCTTCTCTCTCTCACTCTACATACATATGTCAGCAAATATTGTGGGCTCTTTTTTCAAATACATGCAGGACCATTGCTCATTGCCTATGGTGCTACCACCCCAGTCCAAGCCACCAGCATCTGGATGATTCTAATCGCCTACAAATTGATTTTCATGTTTCTGCCCTTGCCCCCTTCACTTTATTTTTCTCACTGCAGCTAGAGAGTAAACCCTTTAACCCAGAAGCCAGATGTCTCTCCTTTGTTCAAAACCTTCCAGTGGCTCCCTCTTGCACAGTCTAATTCCTGTCAACTCTCTGGCCTCATTTCCTGTGTCTTCTGGTTGTTCACTGTGCTCCAATCACACACACCTCCTCTCCGTACCTTGAACATGCTCCTACCTCAGGGCCTTTGCATATGCTGTTTGCACTGGCTGACTCCTTCATTTTCTTCAAGTCTGTTCAAATGACACCTTAACAGAAAAGACTTTTCTGACCTATTTGTATGAAGGAGCAATCCCCATTCCCTGCTCCTGGCACTCACAAGCCCCCTTACTCTGTTTTATTTTTCCCTGGATTAGTTACAACCCCCTGTACAGTATATATTTAGTTTCTTAGTATCTGTCTCCCCTACTAGAATGTCAGCTCTATGAAGACAAGGACTTTGTCTATTTTGTTCACTGGTGTAGCTACAGTACCTAGAACAAGATACTGCAGCTCAGAGGATACAATCAATATTAGTTGAATGAATGAATGAATGAATGAGTGAGTGAGTGAATTGAATGACTATATTAAATGAAACTGAGGCATAGAGAGCCTCAGAGAAGTTTCGACCATGGTCACTCAGCAATGAATAGCAGAACTGAGATTCAAACCAAGCTTGTGTGATGTCAGAGCCTGACTTCTTGATCATTTTGTTTGATATTTGGGAAGAACTTTTAATGAGGTGTGAAAGTGCTACTGGTATAATGCTATGAAAGAAGTAAGATATAAAATTGTAACCCATCACCCCAGCCTCAAGAATCATCAAATTATGGCCCAGTCCTGTCCCATCCTCATCCTCCCTTCTATGTCATTTTGAATTAGTTCACAGATGTGATGGTCAATGATATGTGTTAACTTGGTTAGGCCACAGTCCTCAGTTATTCATTACTGTGAGTGTTGCTGTGAAGGTATTTTGTAGATGTGATGAAAGCCCATAGTTGTTTTTAAGTAAGGGAGACAATCTTAGGTCATCTGGGTGAGCCTGACTAAATCAGTTGAAAGACCTTAAGAGCAGAGCCAAGACTTTCCTGAGAAAAAAGAAATTCCATCTGCGGAGAGCAGCTGTAGGTCACACCCCAGAGTCCCTGCCCTTCCCCACAGCCTGCCCTGTGGATCTCAGACTTGCCTGACCAGCCCCTATAATCGAATACGCCAATTTCTTGCAAACACAGCCTCTTAACATATATTTCCTACTGGTTCTATTTCCTTGGTTAAACCCTGACAGCTACACCAGACGTTATCATATCATCTGGAAATATAATAGTTTAGCAAGTATCTAAAAGGTAAGGATTCTTGAAAAAACCCCACAGTACCATTATCTCACCTAAACAAAAATTAACAGCAATTCCGTGAAATCATCAAATGTTCAGATTTCTAATTGATTCATTATTTTATAGTATTAAAAATATTTTTGAATGAATGATTTGTTTTCCAACATCTTTAATTAAGGAGAAAAATAAAATAAAGCATGAAACCTGGGATTTTTCTCTGTGGCTCCACCAGAGGGCCTTCGTGTCTCATATGTCTCAAGAGGAAAGACATTTGTCTAATTTCTCTCCAACCTCAGCCTGAACTCAGCCCAGTGCTTACTTAACATAGTTGACTTTTGACAAATGTATGATGAGTGAATGAATGAATAAAAATACTTTTTAATGAGTGAAAGACTTTTTTAAACTTTTATTCATTGATTCTACTCTGTACTAGGCACGGAATAAGGGTTTAATTTTACCTTTTCTCAACTATCCCATCAAGTAGATATTATCCCCATTTTATACATGAGTAAATCAAGGGCCAAAGAGATTGAAAGACTTTATGAAGATCATAGAGATAGCAGCAAATCCTTCAGTTAACCTATATCTATAATTTTATTTTTTAAATGTCATATAGGACATACAGAAAGTGTATAAATGGTTGGAAAAGGGTACACCTGTAACTACTACCCAGTTATAGAGCATCACTGTCACCCCAGAAGTCCTGTTGTTATGGACTGAATGTTTCTGTTCCCCAAATATTCTTATGCTGAAACCCTAACCCCCAATATGATGGTATTTGGACATGGGACCTTTGGGAGGTAATTAGGGTTACATGAGGTCATGAGGGGGTGCCTACTGATCATGATGGGATTAGTGCCCTTATGAAAAGAAACACCAGAGCCCTCGCTCTCTCTTTCTGCACAAGCACAGAGAGCAAGGCCATGAGAGGACTCAGTGAGAAGGCAGCTGTCTACAAGCCAGAAAGAGAGCTCTCACCAGAACCGAATTGGCTGGCACCTTGACCTTGGACTTCCCAGCTTCCAGACCTGTGAAAAAAATAATTTCTGTTGTTTAAGCCAACTGGTCTATGGTATTTTGCTATGGCAGCCCTAGCAGACTATCACATCTGTTTTCCCTTCTCAAACAGTCCCTATTTTCCCCCAATTTAAGAGTAGTAATTTCCTTGCTTTTCTTTAGAGCTTACCTTCTGTGTTTAGTTTTGCCTGCTTTTAAACTTTATGTGAATGGAGTTATACTATATATATGTGACTTGCTTTTTACCCTCAACATTATATTCATAAGATCCATCCATATTGAACATATATTTGTAGTTCTTTTGTTTTCATGTTGTATGGTATTTTCTAGTACAGATATATCACTATTTACTCTTCTTGGTTACTGGTAAGAACATTCTTAGAGTGTATCCTGATGTACATTAGAACACATATCTTTAAGGTATATATACCTTGGACTGGAATTTCTGGGTCACTTGGTATGTATAACTTTATTAGATGATACCAGTTTCCATAATGGTTGCATTAATGTACAATCCCACCAGCAGGGTATGAGAGTTCCATTTTTTCTACATCCTCACTAACACTTGGTATTGTCAGGCTTCTTGACTTTTGCCAAAACAATGGGTATATTGTGTTATCTCATTGTAGTTTTCATTTGCATTGCCCTGACCTGTTTAATGAGATTGAGCACCTTTTCATATTTATTGGGTGTTTAGGTTTCTCCTTTTATAGTGTCTTTTCAAGCCTTTTGCCTATTTATTTATTTATTTATTTATTTATTTTAAGATTTTTTTATTGGGTAATTGGGGGGATGGGAACAGCAGTGGGGAATTAGGGGAAGGGGAACAGACAAGTTGCTGTCGTTTTGTTCTTCAATCTAGTTGTGGAGGACGCTGCTTCACTGGCCCAAGTTGGCACCATC